AGTTGCACACTATTATGTACAAAACTGATGAAAATATGTTAATACCTTGTTCAGATGACAGTGAAACCTGCTACAGGTTCAGCCAAGACTGCTGCTGCTGTGAGAGGTCATTCTCCTACGTCATTGCCGCCATTTTGGCGCCCCCTAGCGTTTCTATGCGAAAGTGAAAATGAACACCCGAAATATTATAAACACATATTGTAGTTATATATTCTGGATAGCAGCATATTAAATTCTAGTACTACTTTGAGATAAAATTTAACATTCTAAAACATGAAACGACAAAAGTGGAAATAAGGCCATATTTTTTATGCAACCTCACTATCGTTTGCAGTTAGAGTGAGCCAGTCTCTGTATGAGTAGGCCACATGGTGCCTGAACATTTGGAATATGGTTATGTATAGTGCTTTAGGACTTACTTTCTAAGAATTGATCCTGCCCCATTATTGACACCACTGTGGTTGGAAGTCGGTACCATGCTGACCACTCATACAGCGACAAAGTCAAATATGAAAAAAAACAATCAGCTTTCTTTTTCAAATTAACAAGTTGACTAAAGCTCCTTTTACTGAAAAAAAACACTTACATTCCACTTTGCAGACTCTTATTCCAATTAAAACAAATGCAAATGCCTTTAAAACACTGTAAAAAGTTTAAGCTTTTGAAAAGAAAATGGCTGTCAATCAAGGCATTATGACCGATCATGAAATCCTCGAGGGACTGGATAACGTTTTTAGTGAATTTATGCAAGACATTTGTTCTTTAAGTTACTCTAGTCAAATCCAAGCATGAAATTACACAGACGGGAGAAGCACAATCGACTTAAAGGTATAAAGGAGGATTTTCCCATATTTTAGGAAAGAACCGCCCTTTCTACTTTTTGAACAAAACTCTCTGCTCTTATAGGACAAGGACGTATAAACAGAATGATTGACATTTGGGAGGACCAATAGTGTTGATGATCCACCCGGAAGTAGAAAATCCTCTTGTATACCTTTAACTGTATGATGACAGAGAGTGTGTTCAGATACCTTTTGGAATGTATATTTAATGCAAAAAGCTTTGACACAATCAGATGTGAAGGACTGGAATAGCATTGGACATTCACAAAGATAATTAGTGATTGAGAACCACACGTGCAGCACTTCAAACACACAGGCAAAAAGAATAGCACTGATTGGTGATCAAAGTCGAGGTTCTATTTCATTGTGTCGAAGATGTCTCTGCATTGAAGGAGACGGTGATGGTGTCAGACTGAATATTGTTATGTATATATAAGTAAGCCAGTTCTTTTTGATTTACTTTGTGCACGTCCGTTGGCTCTGTGTTCTAAGGATGAAAGCATTGGCATGTTTTCATCAAGTGCACCGGTTTCCAGACTCCCATATTAGTGAGTGACATTGCTGCTTGCGTAATTGCCACATACATCACTGTCACCATAGCAATACCAAGCGAACGCCAAACGGCTCTTTTGGCTTTTTGTTTATTAATTTAGTAGTTTATTTGAAAGGAACAGGGCAAAGAACCAATCCCAAGTTTATAGACCTGTGGCTTTTTCATCTGTTTGAAGGACTGGAACCGTTTTGTGTGCCAGGAAACCAAATCGAGACAATGAGAGAAAGCAGCAACAAAAATTGGGTGAAATTTGAGGAACAGCGAGGTATTTTGACAGAATTAGGATTGGCTTGAAAGCATGCAACGTTTTCAGTGCTGGTATTACTTGGCAGAATGGAGCTCATTTTCCGGAAATAAAAACAGTACAATGAGTTGCAAAAATACCTCCCCATCAAGGTGCTAAAGTAAGATGATATATTCGCGGTAATTATGGAAAACAACAGGACGTTCAAAGTTAAACATACAAACACAGAATTTACAAGTGTATAAAACCGATGCATTTTTACGATTATAATATAAGGTCTATGGGCCTGACCGGTGAGCCAATGTCACCAGGATCATTTCAAATGTCACTGTCAAATATTGGCAATCCATAACACACACACGTAACCCATTATTTACTTCCTCTTAGCACTTTCCTTTCCCCTCATCCGTAACACAAGCGTCTCTTCTGGCATCTCATCCGTCTGTCAAATGACATGTTAATTCTCATTTGTTGATTTAGCGCGGAGCCTGAGTTGTTGCCTGGTGTCACGGCACATTTTCACAAATTACAACCGTGTCCGTATGGAGTCTGTTGTTAGCAGGGCCCTGTGCCAGCATTCTTTTTATTTAGCCATCCACCATTTGACTTGACAAATAATGTGGTGAAACGCTTGGCAAGTTTTTAACCTTGGTCCATCATTGTGTCAGAATGAATGTGCAACACTTGACAAGCAATCAGCTCCGATAGAGACGCTTCGGTGTTGACATTGGGAAGTAAAGATGTCTGAAGTGTGCAAGTCTAAAGTCTATGCATTTTGTTTAAGGTCTTATTTTAAGTCAAAACAAGTTACAAATCAAATCTGCTTTTCTTTTCAACTTTTGCCCATGTGAACTTTTTTTTTGCATAAAAGTAAAAATGTTGTTACTTACTGCGTTGGTACTTTGCTTTACTGAAACATTTATGTGAGGGAAACTGTATCCAACTTTAAATGACAGTTTAATGCTTCAATGCCCCTGATGTGAAGGAATTTAAGTGAGTCTGAGTCATACTATACCCAGACTTTAACAGCCACATCAAATCAATGACATCCCAGGATTTTTACTATTCATGAACATTGTTGGAATCAAATATATACTGTAGTGTCTTGAAGGTATCTAGGAGGATATTCCCAATTTTTGGAGAAAAGAACCGCCCTCTCCACTTTTTGAATACAACTCTCTGGTCTTGTTGGACGAGCATGTATAACCAGAAGGATTGACAATTAGGAGGACCAATAGTCTTGATGATCCACCCGGCAGTAGAAAATCCTCCTATATACCTTGGAGACTTGGAGATTCTTATCCATGTTAGGGCCTGCTCACTGAGCTCTTCAAACAGCCTCGCACCAAAGTACATGTGACATGTTAGTGCCATATGAACCAATTCTGACTGGTTGATTAGGATTGATTCAGAGTCAGGACTAAACATGGGGAGTCTCTGCTGTACAAAAATAGTACACTGTCTGTGAACTGTTCGATTTGAAGTGTAGTCAGGTCTAAGTAAATGTTCGGTAAGAATGGCTTCTCACATAATATGGGCAAACTCAGCAGGATGCCTGACAGACTGGTGAGTGACAGAATGATAGCTGCCTCTGATTCATTGGTTAAAAGCTTGGCACAGGACCAGGCGCTGCTTCAGTGACTGTGGCTCAGAATGCAGTGTCCAGCACATACTGGACTGGCACCAAAATTAAAGCTGCACAATTAATCACTGCCGTATCAAAATCTCAATCTGACAAATTGCAGCAAGAAAATTAAAATAAATCATGGTTTACCTTTATTTAAGCAAAAACATGCTACTTTTACGACTAGTTGAAGGTAATTGCTCCCCTCCTCGCTGCAGCACACAGCGTGAGTCCTGGATCTATCCCACAGCATTCTTTACCGGTGCAGGACGGTCTAAGGACAGTGATGATCTGGGTGGGACATTTAAGGACATGGGCATGTATTAATGTTTTTGGACATTTGTCATCCCTCCCCCTGTGGACCAATGCCTTCCATGTGTCACAACTGCTGCTGTGATTTAGGGCTATAAAAATGGAAATGAAATTATTTGTGTTTCAGCTTGTGTTAAGTGTAGATGTATGTTCATCCCATGTGAGAAATTTAAAATAAAAACAAATAAAAAACTCAAATCAATTAAGAATACTTTTTTCCTTTGCAAAAATATTATTTTTATATTCACACAAATGTATATTTTAATCTTCTCTAACATCTCCACGGTTTTGCACTGTGCACTGGAATGACCCCTTTTGCTGTTTTAAACCAATTCCAATCAAAACCAATTGTTTTATCTGGAAGATTGCAATTTGTTTAAGTCACATGTCATACAGGCAGGATGGACCCCAAATGTACCAATGTACAAATGTTCACATGGTTTGATGACGTTCTCTGTTAAAGAAAACAACATTATCAAACACTTTTGAAACATCCCAAATTAAAACTTCTTTTTCTGTCAGATTAGATTTTGTGAGAGGTTTTGCAGACCAGTCTTGTCACTTTTGATAACGCCTCTTGTCCTGGATTTCTTTGATTTGAGTGTGGCTGTCACATTGAAAGGTGAGGATTTGTTTTTGAAGGAAACAACATAACATTTGAAAATGTCATGACTCCCCTTGGGAATTTTAACTTTTCGCCGTTTTAGCTGCAGTGAAAAGCTGTATTAAAAGCAAAGCATCTTGTTTTAAACTCTAAACATAATAAAAATGGGTTGTCTCTAACAAAAACAACAAAAATGAAAGATTTATTTTTGTGGTAAAGAGATCAATATGAACAATTTGTGACATTTTTTTGCAAAGAAAGTGTGTGTGTGGAGGGCGGGACTAAACTAATACTATTGATACTATTGTATTAGTGTAGGTAGTACTATTGTATTTGTGTACTGCATTATTACAGTGCAGTATTTTATCTGGTCAGGGTATCTGCATTGCTAGCTTAAGCCGGTCTTCAGCATGGTGGTGGAGATTTTCCCATTGACCTCAATGCTTGGTGCTTTTATTCACCGTTGTGATCCATTGGTTTTCTATAAACCCACACTTTTATGCAACAATTAAACAGTTATCGCTCTGTTCTAGCTCTGCTCTGACCTGCACACACTTGTTGTGCACTACACTATATTGCGCAACACGTGCCCTTATGAGCACAGACCATTGATTTGAATGGACAGACATCTCTTGTTGAATCTATCTTGAATATTTGAGCAAATTGTGTCTTTGTCCCTTCAGATTGGATCTTCAATTGAATATACTGTGTCTTCAATAATTTAACATGTTTGCAGATATAATATAAAGAGTATATATACAGTATATATAGAGGTTCATGTTCTACAAATGGCATTTTAAAAGGTGTTGTGTTGTTTGCAGCTCAGATCCAGTATGTGCCGCCGCTGCCGCAGAGAGCCTTCCTCACCCAGCACATGCCCGTGGGTCACATGATCAAGTTCATCATCACCTACCGCAGCGTGAGTAATACACCAGCAGGCACACGACCCACACAAAGACACACAGTACAATGCAACATTTCATTCTGTCCAGATGTGGCACTTTAAAGCAGAGAACCTTTTTTCATAAATAATACATTTTGTCAGAAGTCTTATACAAGCAACATTTTGTGAAAAAATCTAGCCTCAACATACTGTCTTCATCTTTGGAAAAAACCTCTTTTACATAGAAAGAACACTGTGTCCCTGTTTGAAACACAGATAGAATGCTTCTTTTTTCCTCTTTTATTTATTTGTTTATTTATTTGTTTATTTGGTTGGGACAGTACATGTTAATGAACACACCATGGGCTAATTTCAATCCGTTGTCCCACAATCGCACTCACAACCACACACTCAATCACCCTGAAAAAGATGATTCTAATGCCTTGAGGTTTTTAGAGTAAGGAACAAGTTACATGGAGCTCATTACAAAATATGTCATTGTTGTTTGAGAGTATAAATAAAACAAACATGAACAGAACGCAATATTATATGAGATAAGATTTCCCTCTTGACCTCTTGAGTATTAGAAACATACAACATTTTTATTGATGTTTGATTTCATTTCCACACAGTTGACAATATACACAGCTGGATCATCTCTGGATCCTTTGAATAAATAACCCAGATAAAACTAGAACATGCATCTTAGAGCACGCAGACCTCTCCAAGACCACGGGTCGATTGATGGTTTTCTATCACATCAAATTTCCACTCAATCCGTCCAGTAGGTTTCTTTTTTCACACACATGCAAAATATTTCATTGCTTTGTGGTGTGGTGAGTTTTTTTTAAAGTCATTTTTAAACATGTTTGACTTTAATATTTAAATTTGCCTATAATTATGTCAATTAAGCAAATTGGAATGTCTAATTATTGCAGATATTACATTTAATCATTTAAGCATGCTATTATCCTGTGGGTAGATTAGAGTCGTGCTAATTCAGAGAAATGATCACAGATAATGTGATCGCCCCATCTGGAAGTCTAGGGTCTTTTTTGTATATAATTAGGTCAGAGAATTTCAATATCGTGATAATAATTTACAGTATGTGATATTTGATTTTTTAGATCTGAGAAGCCGCCCATTCCTCTAGAGAAGAGGGTGTGGCTTCATTGACACTTAGTTGGGTATCTAATGACATAGTGAAAGAAGAAGATGAAACAATGTTCTTGAATGGCATGGTTTGTATGTTATGATCCGTTTTCAGCCTGTGGAGAGAAAATTCAAACAAAATGTGATAATATTCCATGAACCATAAAAAGTGCCCTGTAGGGAATTTCTGGCTTTCAGCCACGTGGCCTCAGCCATGTTTGCGTCCCTCTGGCTGTAAACAATGCGTCGTCACTTGCCCGTCAGGAGACCAAAACACACGTTACAAAGTTTCCCATGGGCATCTCCCAGAAGCAGGGTTCTCAATGGAGTCATGGAACTCGTGAATATGTTTTCCTGAGTTGAAAGATGCACACGAACACGGAACCAGTTGGAAAAACAACTTGGGAGCTAGGTCAGAACCAGCTAAATTTATATCATTGAGTTATTTCAAAGTATTGCTACTTTTGAAAGTTTTCTGTCTGTCATTTTGAATACACTATAGAGCAACAGAGTAGCACGGAGCTGAAAATGATAAAATGATCAAATTGATGGGTTTACCATGACAAAGAGCACACTCTGTAGTAACAACACTGGTAGGACTTAACCCGATATGGAATGACTGAAATCTAATAAAGAACTGATTTAATTGAACACATCAGACAAGCGTTTTAATCTTCAGACTCAATAACACCATTGATACAATAACACAGTACACTGTGCAGATGCAACTGTGCTCTTACCTTAGCTGTTTTCTGGAGATTTGATGTTTCACTAGATGCTATTTAGGTTTTTTATTTTGAAAATGTTCTGCTGGCAATAAGAGATGTATTTTGAACACCAAACCCCAAAAGCTGTATATCATTTTAAAGATTATTTTCTTATCTGTATTTATATATAAGTGTAAACTACATCAGACTTTGCATTCAAAAGATATAACACATAAGTTGGGCACAAAATAAATCACTTCCGAAAAAGTGTTACCTTTTCTCCTGTGCTCCATAAATAAATCAGATCTCCTCCCAGCTTCAAATACCTCTTTCACTCTGGAACTGTCCATGGAAAAATAATATCCACTTGTATTTCCCAAAGTATAATCAATTCTGGAGAAAAAAATCCAAAAATGTGCATATATCTTTAGCCAAAAAAACTTTAAAAAAAGAGCAGAGGCTGCTCTTTCACTGTTAGTGGACTTTTAGCTTGGTTTTTCAACCACAAACCGGGTATCCTCTTTTTCCCAGCTCGTTAGCTACAAAATGAGACCTTTCCTGAAGAGATAGGTGCCTGCGTTAGTCTGCAATAGGCCCGTGAATAAGACAAGCGGCTGCCTATTCAGGCTGCCTGCTGATGGTCCGTCTGCATTTGTTGTTAGCCAAAAGAGGCTAAGGAATTTTTCCTTTGCCAAATGATTGACATGTCCGTGTAGCCAATAAGGAAAGCTTTCTAGTGATGGGTGGGACTTAAGTGAACTCTGTCAAATCTGCCTCTAGAGCTGTGCGTAAAGACAGGGGCAGACACGCGGTTCGGAGCCACGCATATTTTACATGCATTTACACTTCTAAAAAAATGAAATTTTATCAAAAAAATCAAAACAAATCACACAGATTAGTACTGTGTAGTACTAAAAATAAAATAATGTTTTTTATGATGATAAAAAGTCAGTAAAGCAATTTGTGCCAAAGTGTGCCAAATTGGTTCCGAATGGCAATACTTGATGAAAAAGAGAAACTGCATAAAAACTATAAAACTTAGAAGTCTGAAACTTTAGACAGGTGCTTCCAACGACACATTGACCATAGGGTTTGAAGATTGTGAACTTACAATTAAGTATGCCTTTTTTAGGGCCTTTAGAAATTGAATTTTACAGGCGAGGCTAAAAAAACAGGTTTTTTTCTCAAACTTCAAAGGATGCAGAGTGAAATAGAAATTACATACATTATTTTAGTGTATATTTACATAAACTAGAAGGCTGTAGCTTTTAACTGAGGCATCACAAAAGCATGTGGCATGTAAGATGTGTTTTTGAATAAGCATAGACATTTGGGCATGCCCAATTTTTGTGCACAAGCCAAAATGAGGCAGGTGTTAAGAGGTTAAAACCAAAGTATTTAAAATTACTTTTGGCAAATTCACAAGCTCTACATCTCCCTCTGGTGGAAGCATAGGGGAAAAACCCTTTCTTACCCTTGACATTTGTTTTCTACTGAAGACAATATTTTACATTATAACATGAAAACGACAATGTAAATAATAATATTAGCTTGATACATTTACTTTTCAATGCTAGTTAATAGAAGCCAGAGCAGGAAGGAGCATCCATGAGCACTTCCCTTTTGGGCTTCTTCGAGCTTCATGCTAACCAGCTCTAAATCATATGTAAGAATTGGCTAACCCTGATTGGAACCCACTTGCTAGAGATTATGACCGCTACCCACCCTACCACACGCACTCTCCTCCTTATAACTCGATTATCTTTGTCAACACCAGAATTGGGCCATCCCTGCAGCCCATCTCAAGCTACCTGAGAGGAGCCAAAGCAGATGTTGGCCAACATATGTGGGGCTTAAGCCGGGTGCAGGCAGAGTTTAGTGGACCGGGGCTTTCCTACGCCCCATGTTCAGCAGAATGGAGGTATTGTGAGGGGGACAGCAGCCCAGAGGGGGGTCTCTGTATAGGTTAATCTCTGCACATCTGCTGCACCGCTCATTTATAACTTGTTCGTTCAGCGTTTTCAGAGGTGGCATTTTCAACAGCTTTCATTTGAGATACAGTTTAACAATACAAAGAACACAAAGCAAGTGTTTGAAAGTACAACCTTACATGTGGTTTGTCGGCCTTGTTCCAATATACCTTCTGTGAGAGATTCATTTTCTTTGAAAGATATTGTCAAACTGAAGATTGCAAAACCCAGTCACCTTGTCAAAAATTACAAAAGGTATAAAAAGAGTCAATTTTGTGTCTGTTTTATTTGCATTTTCACTTTACCTTGATTTTAGGTTTTACTTTCACTCAATTGGATGACACAAATTGACAATATAATTCCCATGGCTTTTTCTTTTGACATCGTTAACGCAATTTGCCATTGGGAAGTGACACTTGTTTTTATAGCTGTCGTGATAGACTACACTGTTTGCAATATCCAGAGGCAACCGCCCGAGCAGAGACAGAGAGAATGTCAAACTCACCGGTTTCGGCTTTAAAAATTCATGTTTTGGCTCTTTCCATGATCCTGGTGTTTTTAATGTGTTCTCATGTATTAGTAAATTCAGGCATGAGCCATAACAACTGACCAATCAGGAGTCTACTGTCGCCAAATTTGGTTTTAGCTGACGAGTTACGTGAGGGGGTCAGACCGGCGCTGCTCCGGAATTAGTACACTGTAGCTCGGCCAATGCTACCAAAATAAATTACAGTTGACTCCATATTACCGCTCCAAAAGCCTCCTTGAGGCACCTCAAATTGAATGGTTAGTCCTTTCCTTATATACAGTTTATGGCAAGGTCACTGCTTTGGCTCCAGAACCTGTTTGAGTTTGTTCTAATTTTGTCTTCTAGAACAAGGAAAAAAATGCAGTCTCTGCATTCAGCAGGTAAATAGACCTTTTCGAAGTCTGTTCTGAGTTGCTTGTGGTCCAGTTTCAGACCCGTTGTTGTCCAGTTGTAGACCTGTATTGACCCGTCCAGACCAACTCCAGACCTCTTCTTTCATACCTAGACTTCGTCCCGACATGTTCCAGTTCATTTTCAGACCTGTCTTAGACCTGCCTTAAGCGTGGTTCACACGAGACGATTTTAAAATTGTCGGCCGATTTTTTCTATGTGGTGCGCAGCCACACGTCAAAATCACGCAAACCACACACATCACACCCGAACCGATTCCCCCCCCGA